CCTCCCCCCCCCTCCTCTCTCTCCGCTCCTCCTCCCCTTCCTTCCTCTCCCCTCCCCACCTCCGCTTCCGCCTCCCCTTCCGCCTCCTCCGACCCCATTCCTCCTCCTCCTCCTCCTCCGGCTTCAGCCTCTCCTCCTCCCCTCCTCCCCCCGAAAAAACCCTAACCCCTCAAAACCCTAACCCTAGCCCTAGCCCGCACCCCCTCCCTCTCCTCATCCCATGGATCGTCCGCGACGACGCCGGCAACCCCAAGGTCCAGCCCACTCCCCCCGCTCCATTCCTCCACGCCATGGCCGAGGCCAGGGAGAAAACTTTGAAGAAAGAGAGCATCAAGAAGAAGAAGAAGAAGAAGGAGATGAAAGCGGCGGCGACGGTGTTTCCGCGGCTGCTCTTCGAAGGCGCCGGCTTATTCCAAGGCGGCCAGGAGGTTTTATAATGAGAAGATTAGGGAGCCGCAGAGGTTAAGTAAGGTCCTTGCAGCTGCTGGAGGTAATTAGTTGATGCAAAGTCTGTTTTTTTGTTTTTCTTTTTGGGGTAAACTGCAGAATACGTCTCATTTGTACGAATACACAAACAATGCAAAAGGTAAATTACATGAATTGTATATGCCGGAACTTTGTCAACGAGCAGCATAAAAAAGTTTTAAATTCAAAACTTTAGTGACTAGAAGTGAAAAAACAAGAAACCCTCACATTCCTTAAGTGAACTGCTCTTTTTACTCTCTGCGGCAAATATGGTCCAACTAGTAAAGAGGAGGGGTGATGAGCCTTACTGAATGTGTATACGAGGGGGGTTTTGTGCAACTTACCTCTTTCTTTTTTGCTGGGAGGAGCAAAAGTGTTTGGTTTGTGATGAGTTTGTTGTTTGGATGAATTTAAGTGGCGTCAAGGCGCGGCAGTGAGGAGCTCATATTCGGAGGCAAGGTGACAGTTAATGGGTCAGTTTGCACTTCTCCGCAGGTAATTTTTTGGTTTTATTTATGCTATTAGGTTTGATTTGTGTTTTGAAATGCCTTTGGTAAATAAATGAGATGTGTGAGCGGGGGTTGAGGTTGATATGGAGTTCAAACTTTTATTTGCACTTGAGTACTTTTCTACAGTTGATCATGCTTATTCATGATTGTCAATTACAGAATGAGATTTGTAATTAGAAACTTCTAAGGGCACCAGATTTGTAATTAGAAACTTCTAAGGGCACCGGACTGGGATAGATTATAGATTAATGGCTTAGAAGTTTGTGGCTTGGAGTGAAATATACTTGAGAATGTGCTACTAATGGTCCATTAGGTATTACTATTAAAAACAAAATCCATTAGGTCTGTTGTTCGCTTTTTTTTAATGCCTGCTCTTGCGTCCAAAAAATAACGCAGGCTAGAGTGTGAGCTCATTGTCCAGCCTTCTTGATAGATTATTCTACAAAACAAAGCAATACAAAATAAAACAGTACATTTATTCTTTCTCAAGAAATCATTTATTTTTTTAATAAAAAATAGAAATCATTTATTTTTTTAATAAAAAATAGAAATCATTTATTTCATGACAATAAGTGGTATGTTCATGGTGCTTATGATCTCAAGTCTTTTCCCTTGATTTCTATCCTTTTAAGGAGCTAACATTTTGCATGTTGCTACATACACTCCGAACCAAGAGTCTTAGTAAATGTTCTTCGTTTGTCATGCATTTGAGTGAAACTATGAACTTTACAGGTACCAAATATGTAAAATAAAATTATATCCACTTTCAAGTAAAATTAAATATAAATATAACAAATTATGTAATCATGAATGGTTAGCGTTTGGAATATGCTGCTGAAAGGTTATGATATATCAGTACATTTCAAAGATTATGCTGATTCTAACTGTAATTTATTAGAGTTGTTTGTTAATAGTCAAGGCTTGCTCTCGGAGATTTAAAATAAGTCTGTGATCCATATGACTTCAAAACATTGGTAGTTCTTTTCATGATCAGGTTTATATATACCCCAACTATCTTAAGAATTAAAAGAAGACATGAGTGAATGATCATAATGATGCTAATGATGCAGCTTCAGTCAATGTGAAATTGCTTACAAGTACAGAATAATGGATAAGAAAGTTGGCGGTCGGGATGCCCAACTTCCTTAGATCTTATGCTTGGAAATATATCTAGGCATGTACATGATGCTATGCATGCTAGAGTCTGATGTCATTTTTTCCTTTTAAAGTTTAGCATGTTGTGTATTCATGATTCGTACATAGTTAATATAGCAAGTTTTAGATAAGGTTTGAGAACATAAAGCATATATGAGAATTTTATCTCCATAGGGGTACAAAACCATAAAAGCTTAAAAAACTAATAAGTATCTCCATTAGGGGGCTTTTGCAATCACATTGATCCTTCTAAATGATTTTGGTAACAGATTTCAATCATCTCAATTTTAGCATCTATAATAAAGGCACTTATTCTACCATCGTCATGTCATATATCCGACACAAGTTTATGCTATAACAATAAATGAATTTGACACAATTAAACAACATTTGCAACAAAAGAAAAAGGAAGAAAGATACGGACAATCTGAGCTGTTCAGCCTGGTGATCCAACAAACACATCCCATCCGCTTAAGAAGCCTACATTTGTCTGACTTTTCAACCACTGTGCTTGGCAGAATATGTTAGTCAATTTTCCCAAAGACGAAAGGCCAATTCCCCCAACTTATAGAATTTTAACCTTCAATCAAATAAAAAAGAAAATAACAATTGGAAAACTAAAGTTATCTCCATATGATTTTTTTTAGCAATGAAATTGACTACCAATCACCAATCAGTTGCACGAACAATTAGAATGCTAAGCACTTCAGTTATAAAGTAAAAAAAGTGTATATCATCATAGATCTCTTAGCAATGATAGTAATATACCCTAAACAAACAACTAGATAGGAAGTATTAGTAAAGGCCAGCAATTTAAATTTAATTAATAGCAAAAGAAGGAATCTAGAAAATGTCTTTTAGTAATAAAAATAAATAGAAACAATACAGAAATTAGTAAATTACGTCAAAGCTATCAAAAAATTTTAACCTTCAATTTATAGAAGGCCAATTACCCCAATTTATAGCTCTTTAACCTTCAATCAAATTAAAAAGCAAATAATAATAAGAAAACTAAAAGGTATCTTCATTGGGTCTTTTTAGCAATGACATTCATCTCTCTGTCAACAAACAAAAAGATTGTACAAACTATTAGAACCCTAAGCACTTCATTTAAAAAGTGAAAGAAGTTTATGTCGTCATGAATCTTGGCAATGATAGTAATATAACCTAAGCATGCAAATAGATCGCAAAAATTAGTAAAAGGCCAGAAATTTAAATTTGTTAGTTACAAAAGATGGAATCTAGAAAATGGTCTTTTGGTAAAAAAAAATAGAAATTAGTAAATTACTTCAAAGATATCATAGTCCAATTAAATTAATAGAAGAATCAAACCTCAATTGAGTACTCCGCTAAAGTGAAAATTCCAGTTAAATCACAAATAAATAAAAAATTAAAGTACGTGACCTCGGAAACAAACCTATATTACTTTTCCCTGACCTTTTGAGCATCGAAAAACATCTGCGGATAAGAATAAATTAAAAACATAAAGTTCAATAGGAAAAAGAATGATCATCTATACTACACAAGAAAAGAAAATAGAAGAAAGAACAATTAAAAAAGGAAAGAGGAACATACCCTCAATATGCTTCTGATATTTACGACTTAGAATCCTCCGTCGTCTTTGACGACCTCGACAGCAACCTCCTCATCATATTGAATATTCTAGAGTTAAATTCATAGCTTCAATAATAATTTTTCATAGATTTTCATCGTCGGGTTCCAAATAGACCTCCATACTCGAGTTGCAGATGTAAGAAAAAATGAGACTGTGTGCCCTGTAATGGAGAAACAAACAATAATTTTCACCTGATTGCAATTGTTGATGAAATTAAGAGAAAGGAATGGAATAACAGAAGGAAGTAAATCATGCATTATTTCTTTCAACAACTCTATAAGCCATAAAAACTCAAATATGGACTTATCAGGTTTCTACACTTTTTTTCCCCAAGAGAGAAAATTTACTAATAATGTTGTTCCAACTTTTCAATTGTTGATGCCAAATTTCAAGTGACATTCATCTTTAACTTTAATGCAGTTAACCGAGCCAGATTGACATAAGCTTCCCCACTACTTGGCATATTGATCACTGTTCTTTCAAAAAATCACTTATATGTACTATTTGGTTAACAAAAGACTCATAAGGACAACTTAAATAATAATCTGTCTTAATGTTTTATATAGTTGGACTCCTTCATTCAGAGTAATTATTCCTCTTATTTGCATCAATCACACTTCTTATTCCATCTAATTTTAAACTATAAATTCATAGTCCTATAGTCCAATTAAATTAAAGAATCACACATCAATTATCATCTGTACTACAAAAGAAAAAAAGAGAAATAAAATTAATTAAAATAGGAAGACAAAAAACCTACAGGATGTTCTGATATTTAGAAATTAGATCCTCCATTGTCCTCGACAACAACCTCCTCATCATATTGAATATTCTAGAGTTAAATTCAGCCTCAAAGTTAAATATATATAGGTAGGTGTTAAAAAAAACTCACATTGGAATGTTACTACATGAGATTATGAAAATTGTCGTCGCGTGAAAAATTTACCTTGCAACATGCATTTGAAAACAACAATCCTGCAGTTCAATCCTTTTTATTATCCAAATATTACAAAGGAGTTACGTTACGAAAAATGTTCATGTTCAGGAGAAGGAAAAAAAAAATCAATAGAGTTATGACAGTAGAGTTTCAGATTTGCTTACTAGAGTGGAGCTGAATCTCAGTGGTTGTTTTAAAGTAGCTTTGATCAATCTTGAAGTTTTCTCAAGAATTGCGCGTTGGAGGGGTATCAACGTTAACTGTTAATCCAAGCAAATCCTAAAAATATTTAGAAAATTGGGGATCAAGATCAAATCCTAGAAAATTGGGGTTCAAGCAAAACACAAATCCTAAAAAAAGTTTTGCTATAAAATTAATAAAGAAGAATGTGAAAGAAAAGAAGGGAAAATCTCACCTTTGAGTACCTCTTCAGGTTTGATTTTTCTTTGGTGATTAGCTTCTTCAATGGTGCCTTAGAAGAGCAAGAGGTCGGTAGAAATTTTGTCAATCAAGGATCTGAATATCTCTTCTCTTGGCGGCAGGAGGAAGAGATAGATTAGGGTTTCTGGAGGAGAGAAGAGAGAGGAGGGAGGAGAACTAGAACTTTGTTTGAGGAAAAGTTGTGAGAGGGTAAGGTTACGGAGAGAAGAGAGATAACCGTAGAGAGATCAATAGTGGGTACAACTCAAGGTTTTAAATATCGGTTATCGAGGATTTATCGGACGGTCAAAATCCATATCGGATAGCAGATATCAGGGATATATAGGGGATAAACAATATTTATTGGAGTGATATTATCAGATAGTGTATATGCATATTATAATATCTTAAAATGTAATCTAACCCTCCTTAATGAAATATAAACATATCAAAATGTAAATAATCATGTTTAGAATCACAAACCAATGATAGAAACTTGCTTCTTGATCGCACAATGAGACCATTTGAGTGCATAGTTAGTAAAAATAGAATAACATACAAGCAAATAAGAAGATAACATAAATAATGAAGAATCATCAACATAATTATTGTGTAATCACGCGATTATATACTAAATTACTAAGTTGAGATTTAATAATTATGAGTCATGTTAATATTCATAAACAAACATGAGCTAATCACCAAACAAGCAAGTTCCAAAAGCAACAAATAGTTTATAGTTCTTAAACATTCAAAGAGCAAACCCAAACCCAAACCCAAACCAAAGGCCGATAATTCCAATATTTTGAGCGGATAATATCGGCCGATAACTCACTTTATCGCTGCATTGTCGCCGAGAAGCATCCAGAAACGATAACAGAATTAAAATCAAACTTATCATAGCGGAAGGCCGCCAAAACCGACAAATCGCTGATAATATCGGTTTATCGGCCGATATTTAAAACACTGGTACAGCTATTACCCATTCTTTTTGAAATTTGAAAATCAAATCTGCTGACATGGAAGGGTAGGTGGCTGCTGATGTGTACAGTTCTGTCATTCTCAGAAGTGTGGGGTCCAAAAACATTACTGCAGCTTCCTGAGGTTTTCCTTTAGGTGTTAAAGTAGTTGATATAAATGCTAGCCTTTGTTCACCCTTGTTCTTCAGTGAGAGTCTATTCCTAACTTGTGCACCTTTGTTTATTTTCCAAACAATCGAGATCATTGCAGTTAAGTGAAAACATATGTATGTTCTTGGCATATACACGTATCACTATTATAAAGTGAGATTGATTGCACTCGATACACACTCAGAGTCTCTAGGATAAAAGGCATGTTGGCCAGAAAGCTACAAGCATTTGCTGCAATGTATATGCCTTTATATTATCAAAGTGTATTGATTACTATTTCTTGAATTTACAATATAGACTCGAGTTGACATCCTCAAGGACTCAATCTATGTTAACGGTAGCCGTCTTCCTAAGAAGTTGCCTCCGAAGTTGTATTTTGCTCTAAACAAGCCAAAAGGGTCAGTGAATCTTCCTATTGTATGCTTTGACTTTTCAACCTGCATCCTGTGCTTGTGATCCATAATAATTATAGAGGTTAAACTTTAGTTTCAATCTTCCTGAACATAGAGCAGCTTACAATCACATGCAGGTACATTTGCTCAAGTGGTGAAGAATCAAAATCAGTAGTATCTCTATTTGATGGATTCTGGAAGACTTGGGTAGGTGTAACACATTTTTTCCTGACAATTAATAGAGTTCACAAATGAAAAGTAGAACATTCTCCTGTTAGTACTTATTCAATGTCTTTATGTTTCCACTTTGCCTTGAAATGATTTTCTTACCTACTCATTTGATTACTATGTTTTGAACTGTCAGAATAAGACAAATCCCGGAGTACCAAAGCCACTATTGTTTACAGTTGGTCGTCTTGATGTTGCAACTACTGGTTTAATTATTGTTACAAATGATGGTATGAATACCTAAGATTTTACTCACATTAGACCCTTATATTCTTTTAGTTGCGATAGTGCCATTATGCTAATTTTATCCTTGTTTTATAACAGGAGATTTTGCGCAGAGTCTTGCTCATCCGTCATCTGAGTTATCAAAGGAGTAAGTTTATGGTGTTGGCCTTGTCATTGCATTTTGGAATTTAAATGTGCCGTTATGCTGGGCTTTTAAGTTTTTACATTTATGTTGTTAAAATGCACATTTTCTGTTTTTTACTGAAAACTACTAAAGATAAAGGTTACCTTCAACATGCTATTAAAATGTATTCAGCTTTTGAAATGACGTTAAATTTGTCAGTCTTAATATGTCAAATGATAATTAATGGTGCCATGACTCTCATCATATAAAGGTAGTTATTAATTACTTGGGTTGAATTTAGATAAAGTTATAAACATTGAGATCAACTCTATGCCAAGTTGAATCATGGAGGTAGTTGTCATGATTCCTTGGAAGTATAAGAGGGTCCCAAAAGTTTACTCCTGTTTGTAATGAATGGTTCCTATTTAAGTGTTAGTACATGGTTATTCTGTCTCTTAGATTCTTGTGACATTGAGATGGAAAAACAAAGTGATATTTCACAAGTTCATCTATTAGTTATGGTATCTAGGACATATCCTCTGCTGAAGAACTGGTGTATCCATTATCATTAAATTCAATACGTGTTCATGTGTCAGAAGAGAAGCTTCTCTGTCTGGATTGAATGTATTCTCGCACCTAATATCCGATTATGTTTGCTTGAAAAAAAATGCTGATGTGGTACATATGTCCTTGAACTTTTTGTTTTGTTTTGGAAGGGT